GCATATCTACGACAGGAGCATCGTTATGGGCTCAATACCGTATTGGAATATTACGCTAGGAGAAGTGAGTACAAATACTTACCGCGATCAGGACAAAATATCTAGGGTGATGAGGTTAGAAATAGTCGACAAGCGCACCAGTAGTTATTGATTCCAAACATGAGAAAATAGCAAGCTTTAGACCTTTTACTATCGAGTAGGTAGCATGCCATACCAGCTTTACTGTTTAGGGTACCTTCACTTTACAACGCGACGACATCGTGGATAACTCCAATGAAAAGTGTAGTCGCTTTCCCATCGCCATTGATTCAGGTTAGTCCGAAGACGGTCTTCCGAACGACCTCTTTCTGTTGACCCTTCTATCAAATTGTTTACGTTATGATCGTAGTTCAGGAAAAAAAATATTCGCACGACTTCGTGATGATCACTCCTTAGTCGTCTACAATCCCACTACGAAGAAATGGTCACCGTATTTTCTCTCTCCAGCATCTCATATAAATGTAATTTATACCCTCTTACTTGACCTTTAAACCTGAACTATTGGTTGGACACTCTTCCAGCTCGATTCGCTGAATATACGTGGACTTCATGAAACATTTGGGCGAGCCGGTCATCGAATGGGTGCTATCGAGTCCCCTCTTTCCGTCTATTNGGACTTCATGAAACATTTGGGCGAGCCGGTCATCGAATGGGTGCTATCGAGTCCCCTCTTTCCGTCTATTCAGATGGGCCTGTGGTTGTTGCAAGGATCAAGCGTCACGAAAAACACTTTTTCTACAGAGTTACCTTTGGTAAGCACATTGTAGGATACGAAAAATAAGTTGATAAATTGATGTACAAGTGATAAAATAATAATAGGTTGATAAATTGATACCCAGAGATGCTCATGAACGAGCAAAAAAAAAGCGTTGTCCCAAATTAGGGATAGCTGCCTAAAACTGCTATTTGTTAGCACGTACAATTACCCAACACATGTCAAAAAGACGGGAAAAGTACTTTGTACATGCATTAAAAAGTAGATCCTTTTTCATTTCCGTCACGAACTAAAGCCATTTTAAATCTCTCGAGTTACCCAACGTGCTGCCTAGGTTTTCAAGTGTTAAAATGGGTTCGGGCCATCCCAGTATTACGCTTAGCCATATCACTAATTTAATGTTTCTTACAGTGGAAAAGGAATAACTAGTAGTCTCACATGTTTATGAATTGTAGATCATGAAAAGTGTGAATTCCTATGCGAACAACGTGGATGGGCACTATTCTCTGGAGGTGTCGATCGTATGTTCTACACTATAGTCGGAGAGAACGCCTTAGTTTTACTAGGCATCCGAGCTGTTGCAATTGCTCCATTACAGGTATGTCTGACCCCAAAGCCAGGCTAAACAAATTTTCTTAAATAAAAATGAGGCAGCAGTGAAAAGGAGTATCAAGAAAACGAATGAGCTTATCTGAAAAATACTTGGTCTTTACATTGGAGTATCAATTCAGTTATGAGCCAAACTAATTGGTTCTCAGGACACACTGGACTCTGGAATAAGGTCTTGCAAATTCAGCAGTGAATCATAATTCCACTTTAGCGTTTCTGCTCAGTATACACCTTATAAAATAAAATTGAAAAACAAAATCTTATTGAGAGCCCTTGTCAGCTTGTTCTTGGATTTGTTTTGTTATATGAGCGGGAGCATCATTTTCAAGAACTAACTATGAATCCCTTTCAGCCTCCAACACTTGTCGAATGTGCTTTAATGTCGCTGCAGGACAAACATTGTAAAAAGGATGGTACTGGTGCTCGAACGGGTGGATTGACACCGGAAGATATTAAGAAGATGGTCGGTTATCGCGGCTCATCGCTTATTCCGGTGTGAACTGTACACAAGCCTTATCTCTCGTGCTCTTCCTAGTTACAGTGGCCTTTTAACCTCACATAACTCTAGTCAAATCCAGATGCTTACAATTGGATGAGAATTAGTGAACGTGCCTTTGAGATATACTGCTGAATATAACCTAATCGTGATAGAAATTACCGTACAATTCTCCACTCAACTCTAACTTTTTCCCTCTTGAATGTGCATTATCACTAGGATTCTATTCGCAAATTTTGTGAGCGTGTCNCATGTGTTGAGTTTAGATGCAAGTTAAAAGTAGGAAAAATATTTGACTTAATAATTCAGCCGGATTCCAGGTTTTAGCCGAATAAGCTAGCTTGCACAGAAATGGCAGAGCAACTTTAGCAACATTACTATTGCTTTTTACAAAGTCCAAATTATTCTAAACTATAATACAATAGAGATGAAATTTACTTACAAGTAACAAGTGTAAACATTACGTTAAGTAGATCTGATGCTGTACGATTAGTGCATTGTTATTCTTGATTATACATGCGACCTATAGATGAAGTGAACTTCGGTCTCTGCGGAGGTTGGTACGTTGACGATAGCCATATAGGATTCAGGACAGAATTCAAGAGCGGCTGAAAAGCTTTCTTTTTTATTGAAACAAATATACTCTATGGACGCGAGGACACGCTTCAGCCTATGTCATCAACAGTAATCTCAATACTTCAACGTAAGAGCAAAAAAATGTAAAAAATTCAAATAGAGAAGGTTCCAGCACTGGCAATTCAAAAAAGGGTTTCATTATCGTGCAGGTCAGTACTGAGAACATTTAAAACTGAATAGAGGCAAAACCTTGAAGACATGAATACATATTATTCGAAAACTGCCCCTATTCCAGCCATGTTCAAGAGGCTTTCAATGACTGTGGATAATTAGGGCATAGCAAGGAAACCCGTAAAGAGGTAATCTCTTTCGAGCAGCTCTAGCGAGTGTAGCAATATTTTGATAAACAAAATCTGGGAACACACGTACCTTGCTTTCTTCACATTGCGCCGGAATCGAAGTGTTTTCAATGGTTTTCAAGATGCCAGGTGGACGCTCGAATGTTACCATCTTCTTTGGATCTCCAGCCAGACCTGACTCGTTACCGATTTTTGGAGGGTTTCGTGGTTTTGATGACACCTGCAGAGGCTACAAAAACATGAGCACAAAACGGTTCAAATGGACAAGAAATGCAAACTGATTGTACTCGATCTTAAGAGACATAAACACTGAACGATTCTACTCTTCCACCACATGATATGTATTGAAAATTTCCTTTCTTGTAAAACCATACTAGTGATTGCAACGTGGATACTATGAAGATTTTGCAATAAAAAGTAGTAAATTTAGCATACTGAAAAAAGCAGCCCTTAATATGAACATATTCCAATTTTTTATCGGACTGTAATCAACCAAGGCACTTTTGTGACTAGACCCCGTCAGCTTAAACACAGCAGGGGGGAAAAAACAGTAGCAAACCGCAAATATCGCTCTTTACACCTCTTGTAACTACATTTCAAATAGGATGATCCACCACAATTCCAGCTCATGTTAAGAAATGAACGAGCCCGTCTCAACTGTAGACAGAGTTGTGACATCTCAATGATATGAGTTCCTGGTAAGACTCTTCAAACATATACGCTTTTTTAAAATAATCACTTGAATTCAAAAGAGGGGCAACCGTCTCACCCGTATTCGTTTCACAATTTGTTTAATTCTCACAATTGACTAGACTCTGATCAATTACCTCACAAAACGATTCCAAATCGCTATCGTCGAAATTAGGCTGTGGAGGGACGCGAACGGGAGAAAAGGTGCGTAAACCTTAATAATGATTTTTCATATCATGGAATCAACAATGTGTTTCAAGTAGCAAAATAAGCACGTTTCCACACTGAGTTCACAGCATTTCTGCTTATCCTTACCGTTCTGATCACTACTTTCAACACCGTCCACAATGAGGGATCCATCAAGTGAGCATCCGCCTGACGACGATATTTGTTTGCCATTAATCGTTTCTACAATAAAATTTCAAGAGTATCGTGTGAATCGCCTTGAGAACTTACATATGACTCAAGAATCAAGCAAAAACTAGTTTCTTTAAAAGCAAACGAAACGCACCTGCGTGACATCGACGATCGACAGAGTAGTCTTGAGTTGTTCCTTTTGTAGAATTCTGCTGTTGTTGAGCGCTTCAAATTCGATAATGAATTTTATGTGGAAATTAGCCAGTGGAAAAACCACAGTAATAAGAGACCACAGACTCAGACTTACCTCTTAGACTCCGCCTTTTCAGAAAAATTTTCGTGCGACTCCAAGGCGCTGAGAATACGACGAGCTGCATCAGATGAGAATTGTGGTCCTCAAATAACTAATTACAATAAATCGATATTTCAATACCAACAACTAACTGTAGTTGTGTGGCGTTTATCGCACAAATTGGGAAGACAGCAAAATGTATGATCTGACGAAAAGAAACCTACTCTCTCTGGGTTTGAAAGGGAAGGAAGGCTCGTTCCCTAAGATGGACGTAGAGAAAGCAGTACTTGCATTACTGAAAATGCAGTAGTTACGTGAAGCAGTGAAGCAATCCGAAAGCAACCTAGTTGTCGTCAAAACAACATTGAATATTACTTGAGAACTCTATTTTCGATTTCTTTCGGGTGATTCGCTATTGTTGATGTTGTAGCAAGATCGCTCGCGGTATTTGAGGGAATGCGAGAAATCGCCGAAATCGCGTTCCCGTCGCTTTGAGCATAAGCAGATACAAAGAAAGAATATTCACCCTCTCTCAATCTTTTGCGTAGATCTGAAGATTAGTTTAGGATTAGCAACTGTGAGCAAATAATAGAATGTTATTCGAAATACACTCACCAAGTGCTTTGTTAGACTCTGTAGTTGCTTGTTTCAAAGCATTCGCCAAGGTAGATGGAACAGACCGTTCAAAACTTCTCACAGCAACCTTCAAAATTTATTTCGAACATCCCAATTAACAATTTTTCATCTTAACTTATTTATTGCAATACAACTGTTCGAAATGCTCTATCTACACAATCCGAGACTACACTAAATGGTTGAACCATTTATCCAGCCCCCATCCATCCAACACCAATTTACTTCCCCCGTCCATGCAAGGATTGGTACTATTACCACCGTGTACTGAGCCTGGACAATGATGGACACCGCAAATTCGGCCACATGCTTTTCTACGATAACAACAACTTTATACCAAACATTCACATTACTAGGCGGAAGTGGGGTGCTGATGCTGGTGAGGTATCTTCCTGAATCTTGGCAAGTACCTATCGTAGCAAAAATAATTGACCTATTTTACAAAATCTGGTTTATGATATTTACCAATGATTCCAAATATGCTTTTTGTTTTCTGGCAAGGTCCAAAATAACATCGAGGGCGTTTTCACATATCGTCATGTCGGCAGCGAAGAGTGCCTAAATTACGAGACTATTAAACTGAAAAGGAAACCGTTGACAGCAGTAGCCACGCAATTATGGAGAAGCTCAAAAATACTGACTTAGCAAGTGATAAACGTAGTTCTTCCGTTACAAGGGCCTTTTTAGCAAGTGTTTTGAATCTGCCTATTGAGGCTCACTGCATGCCTAGTGATTCAGATGATAAATTTAATCTATATCCTTGAAAACTGACTCGATGGTTCCTAAAAAGCCCAGTTCCCAAAAGCTGCTCGCAGTTCTCGCCATGGATCGCAAGAAAGACTACGTCTTGGAACTTATTTAGGCTATAACTTTCTTCACGTATCCAGTTTTTGGAGTACTTTCTTTTTCAAGTAGAAGGGGCTGTCTCATTACACATAGCTCCACTCACCTCGTATTCTGAAAGGGTGAGTATATCTTCTTGTCCCTGGATTAGTATCTTCGACTCCAAGTTTAAGTGTTCTACAACTTTGCTAGTTATGGCTTTCAGAGCTAGATTACATTCTTCAACAGTTTCCGGTGTACAGTTGTTTTGGTCGGACATGAGCCCCTGAAATGGAATTCAATAAGAGCCACTCCACTAATTAGAGGGAAATTCAACGACTGTGGAAACGATAGGCATTGCTTCGCGGCATAAGAGAACACAGAGAATGTGCTTGGTTACTGGTAACTGACATACCATACAGTTGGGCTGGGGTGAGCAAGAACTGTTGAAAAAGTTGTTGGAAAGTGTGTAACAAAACTTGTCATGCCCTCAGGATGGCAGTGGAGCATCCGCGTTCGTGAGTGACATACGAAGATAGAAAGTGATTATGATAGTAGGTGATAGCGGAAGTTACTATCCAAGATGAATATAGGAGAAAATGAGTATATGTGGCAGCGTAAATACTATTCATAGCCCTGCATGAATTTGCAAAATACCTTCGCTTTTATTCTCCGGAAATGCTTTCAAGAAGAAAATTTGCATCGGTCCATTATCGCCCTTCCAAGGAGATGACTGCGGTAGGGTTTGATTTGTGCTACTTGATGCAGCACCACGTTTTGTATTGCACTACACATTTCAGTTGACCTGAAAAGAAGTTCAGCCCCGGCACCAATTAATGATAAAGAGTTTCGGGCTACATGAGCTAAGAGGGGCCGACAGGTAGGACCCGATTTCAAGATTGTTGGCGATAGAGGTTCCTCTACCTCCCTCCTCAACTCACTGAGCAACAGTAACTTACTTACTATTCCTAAGCACAAAAAATCATCATGGACTCTAGGACTCATGAATTCAGCTAGAAAAGAAAATTCAGACTTGATCAGGAGCTATCAGTTTCAACAAATTCACGTTTAAACCTAGACCCTTTCATCCTACTCCCTTCCCATCTCGAGTTAGAATTACACCAGCAGTGCAAAGTAGTATGACCAAAACCGGAGCACAAATTTTTGATGAAATCTACTTTTAAAAGGTAAAATCGTAGACACACAATGCATACTAACTGGTACAGTTCACCTTTCGCGCCTAAACAACAGTTTAAACGCATTGCTAAGTGGGGCGCAAAATTTTTCGTGGGGCACGTCGGGAACACTTCAAATTCTCCATCGCTGAGAA